AGATCCCACCCACATGCCTCACGGCCAAAAAACCAAAACATAAAACAGAAGCAATATTGTAACAAATTCAATAAAGACTTAAAAAAAAAAAAGTCTGGGGCATGTGTCTGGGCCCTTAATCACATACCACTTCATAATCTTATGTGGTTACCTTGTTTCCCTGAATTGACTGAAGCTTTTGGAGGGAAAATCTTTTTAGGACTGGGTAATAACTACCCAACAAATATTCACACAATCAGTTTGTTTCAAAAACAAGAAGTGTGTAATCTGTGTCTTACGAAAAGAAGTTATTGGGCCTCTTCTCCCACCCACGACACTACAGAAGCAACAGTAGCTTCAGTTCAGGTTAGGACGGGGGTGTCCCCTCATGTGACAAATCCAAATTATAGTCAGCCTTCCCGAAGAGCTTTCAATCTACTATCATCTTGGGTAAGATCTATGAGGCTCCCTAGGAAGGTGCAGAAAAGCAGCATAAATCAAGAAAGTCCTCCAGAGAGAAGGGAAGATACCTCCAGAGTGACCCCCAGAAATCAGTCCAGATGATGTCCAGTGAAATCATTACTGTGAAACCACCCATTCCTTGGACGAGGCCCAGCTCCCCAGGTGGTCCATGGTGTTCTGTGGCCATCCACTACTACCCAAGGCGGTAGATCCTATGGAGAGTCTTAGAATCCTCTCCCTCCTTTCATTTACTCATTGACTATTTTCTGGCCTTGGCTCTGTGAATTACCATAACGACTAAGGTACAGATTCATCTCACATTGAGTTCCTAGGTGCTGATACATGACCATGGGTCTTAGACTCTGTCTCAGGCCTTACATTCATGAATGCACAGGGCCGAGGCTCTAATTTCATCCCTGCATGAATGGGTTCCCTCAGTACAGGGGTGCTGGGGTGTGGAAGGAAGGCGGTAAACCCAGGAGCAGAAACCTAGGCAGCTTGAGCAGGCCAAGGGGCTGCTTTTTTGACATGTTTCTCAGGAATTGGCCATTCACAGCCTTCACTGCTATTTCATTAATGGAACTTACACATGTAGCAGTAGTTGTCTGGGGAAGGCTAGTAGTGTTAACTTTCCCTATGGTTTGCTCTCAAAATCGTGTAAAGCATTTTCCTGGTTTTCCTTTGGAAAATGTCTACACTACATCCTGACATTTCATCTGCAGCCCTAACGGGGGTGACTAATATGAGCTGTTGGTTCTTGGCTCTTTCAAAAGTAAGCCAGCTTAATCTAGTAATATCTTTCTTAGGCTCCCAGGAAAAGGAAAAAAATGACAATGAAGCAACACAAGCAACTAGTGTGCCTTCCTTAAGGGTTCTTACTGAAACAAAAGTGTATGTGTTTTTTTGGGTTTGTTTTTTTAATGTTTTGTAGGTCTGGTTTAAATAAAATATTTAACCCTCTGAAAGTCAGAGCTCTAGCGTGCTTTTAAAGCAGCGCGTGATTTAGGTGGGGTCTACTCTGTGGCAGCTAGTATCTTGGCATTCTAGTGTGTATACAAACCTCTGGTCTATAGGAGGTTGGGTGCAGTTACACAGAGGGTGGGGTGGACAAAACAAAAAGCAGTGCTTGAATCGTGCTTGGAAAACATTTTTGGATTCAATGTGAGCCAAAACCATGGGAACTGGCCTATATCCTCAGGGTTTAAAAGAGATCCAAGTAGGCTGACCACGTAGTGGAAGTATGAATAGTACCAGACTACAACCGTGCAGCCAGGGTTATGGTGTCACCTGGGTGGAAACTAGCAGTACAATTAGCTCGGTTACGACTCTGGGCCTCGGTTTCCTCACATGTACATATGGGTAGGTTTCCAAAGGCCTCTGTAGCTCTGACTTTCCATGGCATTACATCATTCTAAAAACGATTATTAGATGTCTGTGTTCTCTTTCAGGTTTGGTTTCTTAGGCATCTGTAGATAGGAGGGCTCTGGCTGTGTTGGTGGCCTGAACTTCCAGGGCTGTGGCTGGCGACTCCAGTAAGTGAAGAGCACAGTGGAGATTGTAAACTCTCATGACCACACCAGGACTTCGCCCTAGAGGTACAGACCACTTAGGAGACACATCCTGGGTGCTAGTTATCCCATACAGTTCAGTGGGAAGGTTGTGATTTCAGGGCCACACTTGGGAAGGAGTTTTGTGTGAATATGGGGGTGCATTCTACCCCACATTGTGGCTGCAGGCACGGTGGGAGGAGGACGAGGAAGAACAGCTGACAGTTACTGCGTGCTTGCTGTGTGCTCAGCCCTCCGCTGACTGCGCTGCCCGGACCATCTCACTCTAGGTTCTCAGCCACACTGCAGGGAAGCATCATCCTAGGAAAGAAACCAAGGCTCAGGGACATCGTGTAGCTTGTTGGATTGAGTCCTTCCTTTTAACTCCTCTTTCGCTTACAACTAATTGGACATGAATAAAGTGCCTTGCACGTCACACCAGGACACCCAGGAGGCTTCTACCCACCCGTCCATCCAAAAGTAGGGCAGATAGGATCTCAGAGGGGGCAGCATATCCAAGGGAGTCGGTGAGCTTGTCCTATCCCCCACTTGCTAAACTCAGGCCGGCCTGATCTGAAGATCTCTTTCTTCTACCCGCAAAGTGATACCGTCTCAGCAGCTAAAATGCTGAATTTAGTGAGCTGCTCATTGTGTTTCAGGACTCTCACTCTGTACATCAAATGGATCTTCAAAGAGAACGAAGGTCAGAAACACGTACTTCTTATTAAGCAAGAAAACCATGGTTTTGTATTTATTCGAGAAAGCTATCATGCTAAAAAAAAATAAAATAGAACCATAAGCTAGAAATCAAAGGCAGGCTTGGCTGAGATTGCAAAACAGCTGTCACCTTCACTTCCTGTGGGGTGTTAATGAATCACCATCTTTCCCGTCTCTTTAGAAGTAACGATTCCTAAAGTTTCCCCTTTATTTTTTAAAATAACATGGGCTATATTTAACCTTTCCCAATGGATTTGTCTTTGTCTTTAAACAGTTTCCAGTAATCCCCTCAAGGTCCCAAAGATGTATGATTTAGACTCTTTCCAAAGTCTTTGGAGCATGAAAGAAAGTGGCTGTTTGAATAAATTATGTACTTTCATTCTCTTGTGGACTATTGTAAATTAGAAGTTCAAATGAGCCACAAGCAGCATGGAAAGAAGTGAACAGAATTGATTCTTTCAAAGAGAAGGGAAATTTTCAGATTTCCAGCCTATTCTTGAGAAACATGAATATTTCTGAACTACTTATCTATCAAACCATGTGAAATTACCATTTTGTAAGTCAAACATGGTCAAATATTGGCAATTCCTCATGGTTCAATTTAACATATGAATTGACTCATTTCCCTTGAAGCATCAAGGATATGAACCAAAAGGTCTGTAGGTCTCAAACTGATGCTCTGTAAATTTTAGTTGTGCTCCCCACTCTCTACCATAAGCATTTATTCTTGAACCAAGAAGGCAAACCAAAACCTTAGAAGGGACAGAGCTATGAATTATCCTGTTTGATATTCCTAGATAATGAAATAGGGCAGATGTTAGAATTTAGAGTAAAATCCTTATATATTACCTTAAATTATTTTCAGTGTTCATGTGCAAATGTAACCAACCTTCACCTACCACAAATAAGGAACAAAATAAAAAGTACTAAACGGGCCTAAATTTTTAAAAGCTCCAAATCTAAATGCTAGTGGAAAAGGAATTCACGTCAGCTGAAGACCAAATTATTGTTTATTATTTTACTATTACATGTACCTGCTGGACTTGGTTTATATGTCTGGGCTTACATTATTAATTTAGTCTTGTGTGAAGTTTTCTGTAACTTAGCCAAGGTAATTTCTGAGGGGACAGTTAATGAGAAAGACAAAATGGTACAGGATATATCATTAGCATTTAGTTACCAGAGAGGCACAAACTAATCACAGCTGTGTCAGCGCTCACAATAACAGAGTTGCAATAAAGCCATAAGACGTGCCCAAAAAAGGTTCTTCCTGGAAGGAGCATCTTGAAGTAGTCATTTCCTTCTAGTACATTCTTCTGTGTAAAGCACCTAATGATTTTTTTTTTTTCTCTTCTGTGTAAAGCACCTAATGGTGTGGATTCTCAAACTTCCTCCAGAGCAGGTTAAAGCTAAAACTAAGAGTGCTGTTGCTCAACATTCAGAGTCAAATTTGGTTCCAGGTAATTTCATATTACAGCACTCACGCTGTACCAGTAACAGATGCCAGATGAAACTGAAGACGCATGTTAAGTTTTAAAGGATGCCTCAAGGCAAATACTTCCCTTATTCCATGCAGCTAATTTCTGGTTGGCTAAGAACAGCATTAAGATCAGTCATAATATTTCCTTGTTTTCTTATTCCTTGGATGAAAAATTTCAGCACACACATTCTCAAACTTTGTATGGAATTAACTTCAGAGACATGCCTGTTCTCATTTCAGCTGTGTATCATAAGAGAGTCCCTGTTAAACGACTTCTCCTATCTATACACTTGTCCTGTGAGGACAGTGTACGACACTGCAAGAGACAGGAAGCTCTCTTCCTGTTATTTTTGGTGAAGGTGCCATTTGGCCCGGGGTATGCCTGCTGCATACTTTTGCCTAAAAACTCAAGTTCAGGAAAACCCTAAGAAGGAAGACTCTTTAAGAGAATGTTTCACTTCCTCACAGGTGTTTTAGGGTGCTTTAACACAATGGCACCCGAACCGCAGGTGAGGATGAAGAGATTCTGAGGTCTCTAGGAAGATGGGTCCTTGGAGGCTTAGAGTCTACGCAGAAGTGAACAACCAACTGCCTTAACTATGTCCTTCAATTTGAATATGACCTTACATTGTAATTGTCAGTTGAACACTCCTGCCTACTTTGTGTCACAGACTTGACAGCAGTCGCTTGTTTTCTTGTAAATGTGCCTGGCTTTCCTTCTGGTACTTTCATACAGGTCACTGTAAGCAAAGCCCCGAGCCCCTCCCACAAACAAAACAGGGGTTGTAGTCCCATAAAACTCTCAGTCAGAAAGCTACCCCAAAATAAGCTTTATTGCAAGAAAAGTGTCATATTTGATACACAGACCTACGAAAACAAACAAAACCAAAAGCCATGTTTTTCCTCATAAACACTTGATTACAAATTTACACTGTTTGTTTTTTTAGTTATTAGAAAACAAAACAAAGTCCCAAACTGGATCTAACTGGTGACTAATCTTTGGTCAGCACAGGTGTGAGAGGAACAACCCAGAGCCTGCATGTGCTTTGGCCATTTCACATATGAGGTTTGGTCACTGGTCCAGGGACAGGTTCTTGGGTTGAGAAGAACGTGGGGACTTACTCTTATTAGCACATCCTGGTACAATATCTTTTTAAATGACTAAAGCAAACTAAACATCAATTCATTGTACAAACATCTTTCATACACAATAGGCTATGATAAAACGAGACATATGGTGTATAACTACAGTATTAATGAAAATTCTAAAAAAATTGGATTTAAAAAAAAACAACATATATTCCTTGGCTGTACTGCATGATTTGTTTGCACATATGGCAATCCTGAAATAGCTTGAACATAATAAATGCACCATTAATCTAAGACAGCACCAAACACTACAGAACGCCAGGTGTTCCTTTCCGAAGGAACAGCAGTTCTTCAGCTGCCTACAGTACCACAAGTATGCAGCACGCCCTGGGTAAGAATGAGGTGTTGTGGGTAGCACATGTGCTTCCTTGAGGTTATGAGAAGGAAATACAGTACGGTTTGGCCTGCAACGCTACTGGTCTCACAAGCAGTCAAGGTATTTTGCTACAGTGGTTGTGTGCTTCATCTTCTGTTGCCTGGTGTGTCTGGTGATGTGAAATATCATCACAATGAGCTGCTCTGGCTTTGATCTCCTTTATAAAGGATCTAATGACACATTGATTACACTGCCCGTTCAGCTCTGTGAGGCTTCCTTTAAAATAATCAGATGTGTACCAGTTGGATGACTGGCAGAAAACCAACGGAAACACCTCTTGAATCTACTGAATTTTTTAAAAAGCACCTCTAAAAGAAATAGCTCAAATTTATAAATCTAAAGAAAAACAAGTGAGTTTCCCTTTTTGTTTACATAGTTTGTTCATTTCTCCATATATTACTGCATTAAAAATAAATAAACATCTATATTTTTTTAATTAGCAACTATAGCAAAATACCCAAAGTGTTACAGACTGCTAACAGGAAAAAAAAAGCTCACATTATTTTTGTGCATTTAGTGCCATATGCTGATCTCTTGAATATTTAGGTTTTTTTTTTTTTAATATATTTTAAAGTGAAGTTATATAGAAAATACAGTAACCACGGTTGCCTCTGTACTCAAATCTTTGGCCACACCAGAGTCTAATTATCACTCCCTGTGAGGGTCAACATTCTAAAGTCTGAGACAGGGAGGAAAGAAATAAAAGTCTTTTTTTTTCCTCTTTAAAATTAGTCATTGATTTCTCAGAGGCTTCTGAAGGCTGGCTGTGCAGGGATTTGAGCCTGGAACCAAGTCTGCAAGGGGTTAATAGAGTTGAATCTGCAGCCTCATTCTGAGAGCCTCCCCGAGCTCCCCTAGGAGGTAGTCGTCCTCATTGCTGTCTTCCAGTTTCTTAAGCTCCTTTTTCTTGTAGAGAGGGATGCTAGTGACTTCCAGTGTGTATGTGCCAGGCACGAGCTTCCTCTTGGCCGTGTGCAAGTAGCTGAGCCCATTCCTTTGGTGGATGTGGAAGATGCCATCGTCATTCCCTTGGGAGATGACATAGCGGATGTGGTTGTTGAGTGGCTCAATGGCGGGCATGAGTTCTAGGATGTGCTCCTTAGAGCCAAGGCCGGAAAGGTTGAACTTCATTTTCACGGGGCTGTCCATGTCGACACTCTCCAGGCTGATCTGTTCAACCTGGAGAAAGAGCAGGAAACGATGTGGGAAGACCTTCGACAGCACAGGTAGATGACTCGAAAGGAGCCTGTTGTCGGGGTGCAGCCACAAGGACGATGTATCTCTGCCCCTCTGCACTCCGCTTGTAACTTACTGTCAGCTGGGAGAAAAGGTCAATTCCATAGAGTATGCCCTGTAAATCTTTACGACTTCTCACTCAGCCTTATCCAGGTAAAGTTACAGGTCTGGGCCTATGGGGAGCGCTCACATTTCAACTTTTTTTTTTGTTGAGTTTATGGAATATCATGCTTATTAATAATAAACAAGAGACAATTTAGGAAATGACTGTAATTTTTTTTTTTTTTTTTTTTTTTGCTGGAGTTAAAATGAGAAGTGCAGCTGTTATCTAACAGCAGGGACTGTCCCCAGAGGGCTCTTCACTCTGAAGGCCCAGGTTGATTTTATGGTCACAAACCATGAGTGAGTGTCTTTGCTGGGAGCTGTTAGTGCAGAGGGAGGGAACTGCAGAGTCGTCAGGGCTCAGGTTTGAACCAGCTTTGGTAAAAAGCCAATGGGGCACGGCCCAGATGAACCAAGTCTCCCTCAGTCAGCGGTATGGGAGGTTTAGGAATGCTATTTCAGTAAGACAGGCAAAAAAAAAAAAAAAAAAAAAACACAAAAAACAAAAAATCAATCATTGAGTGGGCGCCTGCCAAGAACTTGAGAAAAGTGGTACAGAAGTGCCCCCATCAGTGTGCAAACAAAATCCTGTCCCCAGAACTATGATGGGAAGGTTTTATGAGCAGAATTTCTGGATTTGTAGTTTGGGATACTTGATGAATATCTCAGTTGCCATATTTAAATATCAGTTAGACACCTCAGTCTCCACAAGGTAAATGTAATGCTGGCCTATTTATTATTATAAAGTAGAACCAGAGACTTTTTGGCTAGCGAAGTCTATCTAGTCTTACAAATAAGTTTCTGCGGCCCAGAAAACTGAAACAAATTGCCCAATTCACACAGCCATTGAGTTGAAGACTAGGTTTTTTGATGAGGAATTCTGCAGTAACACTAACTGACAAGGATGGTACTCTCCCTGATGTCTGGGGGAAAACATCTCCAGAGACCGGGTACTATTGGGAGAACACGTATGATGCTTATGCCAGGCACCATTCCAGGATCTTCACAATAATCACTCAATCTTCTTGTCAGCCTTCAGAGGTAATTATTTTTATTACCATTTCACAGGTGAAGAAATTGAGGTAGAGAGAGGTTAAGTAAAATGGCCCATGTAACATGGGTAGTAAGTAGGGAGGATCAGGGAACATATTCAAAATCATGAAGTCTGTGGCCCGCCCCTTTAACCACTCTGCTAACTACTATGAACAGCAAAGACATAGCAGCAGTAGGCAATTCAGATCTTCAGTTCCTTACAAAATACAAGTTATGTGGAGATAAACTCTTTATGAGAGGAACACCTGTCTTATAAATATTACAATATAAGACTTAGTTGGCTTACCTACTGAAAATTAAAATCAGCCCAGTGTACTACATATGTATACAACAGAAATGGACAGATTCAAAATAATTTTGGTTTTTGAATCATTTCAAAATAGCTGTTTCCTAGAAGGACATATTATTGCCTTCTGGCACAAATCAAAAAATGAAAACATATGATCTGAAACTGTGAATCTTAAAGTCCCCCAGTCCTTGTGTTTTGAGCTAAAAATGTCTCTAATTTTAATTTACTTGTCTCTGCCATAGTGTGTCCATGAATTTAGCTAATAAATTTCATGACAGTTTTAGCTTCACTGAGGTTGAAACCTACATAAAAGTTTACTGCAAAATATACGTGACTCCATATGGATAAAATCTGGTGACAAAACAAAGTGAGGTTACTCACAGCAGTGGGCTTGGGTTCATAAACACTTCTCTTCTGTCTGCTGTCTTTCTGAGAGTAGCCGTTGATTTTGCACTCATAGCATGCTTCCGGGGACAGAGCGTTCTCTTCATCCACTTCTGCATCCATTGACAGGTACTGCCCTTTGTTAAATCCCATTCCTGAGACACAGTGGCTATTTGCAATAGGATGCAAGGTGACGTTAGACTTCATTATAATGTTGACTACTGTTTTCCAGAGGTAGAGCAGAGATTTTTCCAAAATAAGAGACCCACAAAGCAAACCCTAAGATCATAAATATAAAACCCTAATAGTCTTGGTAACTCTTTTCTTCAACACTTAATACATGAGATTCTCCTTTATTTTGAACAGCAAAATTCTTCTAAGAGTGAGCCCCAATTTTCCCCAATTTTCTATCCTAATTAGACTGAAGCACTATGTGTAGTTAAATCAAGAAGATAAAAGCAAAGTATGAATTTCCAAAGAGAGTGCCAGAAGTTTTTTTTTTTGCAGTACACGGGCCTCTCACTGTTGTGGCCTCTCCCATTGCGGAGCACAGGCTCCGGACGCGCAGGCTCAGCGGCCATGGCTCATGGGCCCAGCCGCTCTATGGCATGTGGGATCTTCCTGGACCAGGGCACGAACCCGTGTCCCCTGCGTCGGCAGGCAGACTCTCAACCACTGCGCCACCAGGGAAGCCCCAGAAGTTCTTTTGATTCAAAAGCCTGAAGCCTATGTTTGCTGCTCACAACAAAGCTCTCTGCTTTACCAAGTGAGATTTCTGAACTCCAATTCTGGTCAGTGAAAGACTCAGCAAGCTGGCTCTAAATGACCCTTGTCTACACCAAGACCTTTGTTTCAAGCATTATTATGTACCCACAGTGGACATACTAGTCCACGACCCTCAGTGTCTGACTCACACACTGCTCCTTCTGAGGAGGGTGACCCTGACTGACTCCTAAACTCTTATCTTCTATGCTGTTGAGCACTGACTTCCTTGAAGGAAGGATGCAGGTGGCCAGCACCTCATCTGCAGCTGATAGGACTTGAGACAGCTGCACTTGGGAAAGTGCGACTAGCTGGAGGGAACCCAGCCTCGTGGAGACAGTGTCACACCAACCAGGCACATCCTCTCTGTGCAACAAAAAACCAGATGAGCAAAGAGAGGAACAACTCCTTCCTCAGGGAGCATGGAGCTAGCACCTGCCAAAATTCACAGAAGAATCTGGGGTGAAGCCATTTCCATTTGTACTTCTTAACTCAGGTGTCTCTGACAACACGTGAGCCACAGCATTTTTAGACAACTGCTTGTCTCTGGCCTTGAGGGACCCAACTGAATCCACTCAGGCCATTTTAAGAGGCAAGAGAGTGCTACCTGTACACACGTTCGAGTCTTATGCTCACCACAAAGGAGGTAATCCACATGCCTTCTTCCACGTGCTTCCTCCTCCCATTCCCTAAGTGCCCTGATCAATGCTTTTCCCTTGTGGGCTTTTTTTTTTTTTTTTTTTTTTCTTGCGTTATGCGGGCCTCTCACTGTTGTGGCCCCTCCCATTTGCGGAGCACAGGCTCCGGACGCGCAGGCTCAGCGGCCATGGCTCACGGGCCCAGCCGCTCCGCGGCATGTGGGATCCTCCCGAAACGGGGCACGAACCCGCGTCTCCTGCATCGGCAGGCGGACTCTCAAGCACTGCGCCACCAGGGAAGCCCCCTTGTGGGCTTTTAATCACCGTGTACTCCCCCTCCCAGTGCCGGGCGGCCAGGTGGCCTGAACACAGGGAGGGCAGCCTGAGCTGGACCACGCTCGCCTTCCTGTGTGCGGGGAGGTGGAGGGCCTTACCCCTGTCCCACTCTGTAGTAGCCAGGTGGGCAGCCGCAGAGGTAGCCCCCTTCCGTGTTGGAGCAGCCGTAATTGCACGGGTTCTTGGAAGATGAGCACTCGTTCACGTCGTGGCAGGCACTGGAGAACTGGTCGAAGGAGAACCCAGAGGGGCAGGCGCACTTGTAGCTCCCCAGGGTGTTGTAGCAGGAAGCAGAGCCACAGGCATTTGGATTGGAGCACTCATTCTCATCTATGAACATAAAGCAAGAGACTCTTACAAGGGTAGGGGCAGTGGGGCAAAGAAGAGCCTGAGTCTCAAGGTACCTACGATTTTACAGGGGAAATAGCTCTAGAACCGTATTTTTAAAATGTTTACCCTGATGGTCGATATGCAAAGCCTATGAAATTTAAAAAAATACAACAAGACCCAACAAATCTCCCTAAATTATGACTTAAACAAAACCTTGCCCCGCCCTTTTATATTCTGTTTGTACTAGGTTTTTCTGAATACCCTGGCAGCCTCTGGGGACAGATATTTGCAGCATGACTACTGAAGAACTCTTCTATTCTCTTATCAGAAGGTTACTTCAAAAGCCTATACTTCAGATAGATTCATAGAGACAGAAAGCAGACTACTAGTTTCCAGGAGTTGCGGTGAGGGAGAAATGGAGAATGACTTCTAATGGGTATGGGGTTTCTTTCTGGGGGGATGAAGATGTTGTGGTGTTGACGTTTGCACACTGCTGTGAGAATATACTAAAAACCACTGAACGGTACATTTTAAAAGGTGAATTTTATGGTATGTGAATTATATGTCAATTTTTTAAAAGCCTCTATTTATATCTGTATTTTTATCCATTCTCCCAGCAATTCCCAAAGCCTTCACTATATATGGAAAGAAAAACAGATAAAAAATTTAAATACCTTAAATGAAAATAACTGAAATAAACATTATTTAATTGAACATTCTGAACCAATAACCTTGTACACTTTTAACACTCGAGAATATGCATCAAGCGCAGACTTTGCCTTCTGACATGGGTTTGCACCAAGCCATCAGCTGACATAGGTTTTACTAGTTTAATGACTCACATTATACCAAAAATGCCTGACAGCAGGATAATTACAGGTTGATACTTTCAGCTGCTCTTATCATTTTTACAAATTCAAAGCTTGATTGTGCTTTTAGCTTTGGAGACGACAATTTTGCTCTTAACTATCTGGTTGATACCTATTTTGTGGCTTGACCCCTGTGGGCTTTATTATAATCCAAATGTCACCCTGGGCACCAGTCACATTTGGTCCGTGGAATTCTTTCAAATTCTCATGACTGCACTGGAGCATAGTGTGTCTGTTTACCTAATACCTGACAAGTCTATGTTTCAGCCCATGTGGGGAAACAGGCCCATTTGCAATTAGGTGTACCCTTGGGACACAGCAGCTACAGGGAAGTGCTTATCTGCAGGAGCTCAGTGAGATTACGGAAGATGCAGATACAGTCTCAGTGAAGAGGCCTCTCACACAGGAAATTAAACTTCATTAACTACGGCACAGAGGTTATTGAGAGGGCCAATGTTATTAGGCACATTTCTGTATCGTGATTATAGTTTCAGAATTAAACCAAACTGCCAAATGTAGAATTCTTAATTACTGGATATGAAATGTGCTATGATTACCTAATATGTACAAATTCTTAGCCTTCATTTCAGGGGAGAAAGTATATGAATAAATTCTTAATAACCAGGCTACCTATGACATAAATATAACTATTTTATTTCTATACACAAAAGACTTGGAATTCTGCCTCAAAGGCTCATCTGCTTTTATAATTAAATCTGACATTTATATGTGGTGTTTCTCTCCTAATGGAGAATGTGAGTTAGGTTATAATTTAACAAAATGATCCTGCTATGAATATAGTATTCGACACTGTGTTAGGTAAAAAGATTACCAGGCAAAACTAATTAGTTGAATAAATTGCTTTTAAACATACCACTGACACGAACATTTCTAAATAGGTAAAATTTCTGGAAGCACCAGGATAGACTTCATATTTATATGCTATAAACGTACATCACAGAATAATTCTATAGGCTTAGGTAATCTGACTTTGAAAATATGTTCCTGTTTGAGACCTACTTTGAGCTGACTCAAGCCTCGCTAAACCATGTTCAGGTTATTTTGAAAAGGACATACAAGGAACTAGAAGTTGCTGACACCACATAACCCAAAGCTTCATATACTTAGAAGTAATCATATGCAAGTGTTAATAATATTCCCTTATTTTCAATTTGGAATAATCGTCATGCTTGCATATATTTGAGAACGTTACCTAAATATGTACAGTCCACGTACCAGAATGTTATAAATGTTCTGTGGTAACTGGCTGGAAACTTCTGAAAGTATTCATTTGAATTAAAAACTTTTTTCATTATTAACACTTACAAGAACTGTCATTTTTCTTAAATTGGTAGTAGTATTAACAACATTGTAGGTTTACAATTTAATATTACTTAAGTTATCTGATGCACTAACATTTTTGTCTTTTTACAAGGGGACCCCACTTAAATCTGTCTGAAATACTTCATACTATATTCCCCCCTCAATCATATGAATAACTGAAGATATTTCATACCCATAGTGACAGATAAAAATGATTTGTGGCCTTTCGATTTGCATTTTGTGATAATGCTTGTTATTTTGCTAACTTGTTGCTTTTATTAGTTCCCAATGGGTTGTTTAATTCTCTTACTGCCATATATTTGAGTTAAAATTCCAACTGTGTTCTGTGGGTTCAAGGCAAGATAGTCAGCAATTTTACTAGAGACCAGCTGGACTGCTCAACCCTGCACAGAAGAATCTCGAATCTTTCAAATTAAACCCCTGCTTCATCTTACTTACCAGGGGCCTGCTGCTTACAGAGGCCCATTTTAGCAGAGCAAGCTAACAAATTAATTCTTGCAGTTGGGGATATCTGCTTATGTATCTTTAGCTTTGAACTCATCTTTGAAACCACTTATCCCTCTGCCTATGGGGGTCTCTCCTGACTAGAAGGCACACTGGCCTCTGGCTGGACTCCAGCGTGAGCTGCTTTGGGGTGACTGCCTTGCTTAAGTGCCTATTCCAAGGATCCCAGCAAGAAGAACTGGGATACATCACATAGCCCTGACTTTAAGTCAGACCAAATTCAGTGAAAACCTGTGTGGCTATTTTCGCACTAAATGCTTACAGACAGAAACTCCAGGAAACTTAAAAACGTAGAAATTGAGTTGATACTCCATACACGTTCCTATTTCCACTCATGATCACTTTAAAAACAAGAATTTTAGTTAAGATGACACGTGTGAAATATTAGAGGATAATTCTTTTGCTTTAAGTTCTGTAGAATTAAACAAGAAGCCCGTGGTGTTAACCAAATAGAGGGTTGGGCCTCATATTTTATAAACAGCACAATAAAATCGTTTCACAGTTTTAATAGCTATCTAAAAAAGTACCATCCCCTGTGTTCTGAAGAGTGTGTCTATACTTTATCTCTGTTTATGAATCAATAAATCAGGGCATAACAACTTCTGTGACATTATTTTTTTCTATGAAGAGAAAAGAAGTAAACTAAACTTATGAAGTTATTTTGACTGACTGCCTAACTCATCATTTTGATAATCCTTTCAAACTCTGTCCTTAACTCCTAGATCATTAGTGGCTTTTGCATTTCCCCCACGAGTGTCTATTTGTGGCGTGGCTAAGCATCTGTCTTTAACCTGGCACAAGGCCACAGCAGACTTGCGATGATGTTCAGAGTTGCTTTTCCTCCTTTGAAATTTGCCTTGATTTTCTCAATTCACTAAACTGTCATTAGAAATTTCTTTTGAGAAGATCACCAAGGATAAAATCAGGTTAATTTATTTAGTGGATTGCTCACAGTAAAATATTTGAAATACACGTGGGGTAATTTAAATGACTACAGAGAAACAGGAAGTACCCCGCTGTTTCTCAGCAGGACCACTGTTCCCCTTTCTGTTCTGCTGTGCCAGCATCTAATGTCACACTGTGTTGGATGGTGCCTCTATGAAGGGCATTCAAATGGAGCCAAGAAATTAGGCATATGCTAACTAAGTTAGCCAGCTATTCAAGTAGAGAGTAATGTTCTCTTTGATCAATCTCTCCTTAAAAGGAGAATTTCCATGACTCTATCTAAAGTGCAAGAAAGGGAGCTGAGGGCCTACAGATTTTATTTTATAAACACTTTTGTATGGAGTTTTCAATAGAATTTGCTGTAACTAGGTACTTTTTCTACCTTAAAATCCTTTAGCCTCTTCATTAAATATGTGACTGGAGAGCACAGATGAATGGTGCTCATTAGGTTGATCTGAATCCCTTTAGATTTATATAAGAGGGATGAATGGGCAATCCTTCAACCCCCAATCAAAAGATACTAAATTACCGATAAAAACCCTCTGACCTTAACATGTGAAGATGATGCTTCTTGACACCATCTTCAGAAACTTAGAATTACACCTAGCAGAAAATTAAAATTATGAAAGCTCTAGTTGAGTTACCATTTAGGTACTTAACATTTTTATTATGTATATTTTCAAATACACACATGTACAGAGACTAGTTTAATGGATCCCCATGCATCAGTCCTAAGTACTGGTTTTTAAGTTCTAGGGTTTAAAGCCTACACTGAAATGCCAGTCTTTATTGTTCGTTCTTTTTACTCAAAGATACTTTAAGGTGAGAAAAGCAGATGCTGTGTAACAAGCGAGTGCTCACCGACACACTGATTCCACTGGTAATGCTGAATATATCCTTGAGGGCAGCCACACCTGTAGCCTCCCAGGATGTTCTGGCAGCCATGCTGGCACCTATGGTTTCCATCACATTCATCAACATCTGCAAAAACAATCCCGGCAAGATCTTTATGTAACCTTTCTTCTACTATTCTTAAATGAACTCCAAACACAGCCTGGGGTAACTATTATCACAGGAACAAACAAACAAGACATACTGAGGGGCTGTGATTTTTCCGTCACATGGCTATTAATCAGTGGTGGTGCAGAGAACAGTTCTGAGATAAAAAACCACATCATTCTTATGCTATCCACCAGCCATGCCACGTCAGTGCTCTAAATAACAACTTAATGTCAGCAAATCAACCATAGCAACCACAAATGTTGTGCATTTTGGATGGATTAACTACATACGGTATGATTTATTTGGTAAATGATATAAATATCTTTGCATTATATATTCCAGTAGGTTCAAAAGTGATTGACATATAATCCTCATTTTGGGGAAGATACAAGCACTACAGAAATACCTAAAAAGTATAATGGTTTGCACACAAAAAATTTTATTACCATTCAAGATTAATTAGATGCAAATTTAAAGTATTCTAAATATGTTATTTTTAGACACGATATAGTATTATGACACATATGGAATAATTTCTTTGTTCAGACATGCATACTCTTCTGGAATGACAACTGAGGCTTTGAAACCTACCCATAAAAAGTGAAATGAAATTGGCATGTCTGATGTATGCGTAACAAATTTATATGGATAATTAATAAATGATATCTTATGTGGATGGTTACAAGCCAAACCCACACATGGCAAGCAGCTGTATGTTCAGAATACTTTCAAAGTCTCAATGACTTCGAATACAAAATATTAAAATAGAAAATTTTTAAACTGAATTTTTCTTGGCGGAAAATTAGATACATGCAGAAGTCCTATAATTCTTAGAGTATATTAAAAAACTTTGAGTAATTCTTAGACAATATTAACAATTTTGAATATATTTCTAGAATTCAAAATCATATATTTCTAAGAATAATTAATTAAAGGGAGACTAATATCAATAAAGACATAAATTACAATTGTATATAAAAATATAAAGGGGATGTATATGCTCTCAGAATCTCTGGCATGAGCATTTTGTAAAAGCTACCAATCCTAGTACATTTGTCTCATACGCTAGCACTTGCAATAGAAATACTGAAGAACAATATAATATTTTATTGACCACAGGCAAATTCTTATTTTATTCCCACTTAAATGTTCCCTTGGACTTAATAGGAAATACCTATTGTGACAGAGACTTTATAGGAAATGCCCTTTATAGAAGACAGAGTGAATCAGGAGTCTCAGACCAAATAAAATCGCCATCAGTTTTCCCCAGAGCTTTCTGTACATTTTGCGGTTCTCTATAATTCGTTCTTTGTCTTACACGTAACATTTCCACATTCAAGTATCATGGAACAGACATCCAATTTTTTTCTGGTATACTCATACACTACTGTAAACTAAATTAGGTACAGAATTCTTTTTCAGTTCAATTCTTTTTTAGATCAGTAATCAGGTAAACAGTTACTTTAGAAGCCAATTTGTACTCACAGAATTTCTGTTTCATCACATTAAGGTTTTCCTCTGCCCCCAAAATGATATATGAAAATTTATGAACAAAAAAATCAATTTCTGGGTTTTATTTTGTTAATTGCTTTTTCTTTTGAGATGATCTCAATTGCTCATTGAGTGGCTTGGAAGTTAAAAGAAAACAGTTTGCTGTATTAGAATTAGAATAAGAATATTTGAGCAAATAAACTCACCTTCACAGTTCAGTCCAGTGGCATCAAGAGAGAACCCTCTTTGGCATTCGCAGCTGAAACTTCCAGGGGTGTTTTGACAGATTCCTTTTGCTCCACAAAGTGAAGGCTGAGACCCACATTCATTGTTGTCTAGCAAAGCACAAAGTGGGAGAGCGTCAAGCTTCCCAATTATTATATGACTCAAATTTTACTACATGAAGTCAAAAGTGAAGTATGAAAGCCTAAGTTTCATGATGTGAAAACAGAATTTTAGGGAAATGTATACCATTATTCATGGTCATGTTAAAGGCAAAAATGGTCAGAAAAAAATATATTTCAAGAGATTTGTAATTAGAGCTTATTTTGGGTCAATTGAGGACATGGTTTTTGATAGTACAGACAAAGTCTCTTAGCCTGTGTGTCTTCTAACATAAAAAAAAAAAACCAGCATGTTCATTAGCATGTTCTAAATTACAGTGAGCCTTTAATCATATTTTATCTGAACAAACATGGTTATATTTAGAATGCAATATAAAGGCATTGCCTGGAATACACCTCGTGTGCATGTGCTTGGACTATACAGGATTTTTTCCTTTGGATATTGTTCTAGTGAAAAAAAAAAATCTATTATTAACAACATTTTTAGACCACTAATTATGAGGGACTGGTTTTAATGTAAATACTGAGCCATTATTCTACCATTTTTAAAGTACAGTTTCAGGCTTCTACTAAAAGTTTGCAAAATTTCTCTTTTGTAGTTTTGTCTTACCAATACAAGCAGTGTGATGCTGTGTGAAACCAGGTGGACATTTACAGGTAAAACCTCCCAGAGTGTTGACACAGAGGAACTGGCAGTTGTGCTGTTTGGTTTGACATTCATCAAGGTCTGCAATGAAAGAAAAGCCTATGAAAATTGGAGCAGAGTTATCTGGCTTTGCCTCCTTTCTCAGGAAGCCACCAGGAGTATTTTGTCTAGATTTTTGTTGGAAGCTTTGTAGATATCCATATGCATATGGCAAGGGGTTTCTTTTCACATACTTAAGCAGCATAAATATTATGGGCAATAATGATAGGATGGCTAAGGTGATACATACCACAAAGTTTTCTTAAAATAAAAAACTGAAAGGATGAATCATAGTGGTGTTCGTGAACTGTTCTCAAAACTAATATCCAAAGGTTATCCACGCACAGTTTAGTACGTGGCTGGTCATTTATTTCTATTAAAGAAGGGGTTAAACAAAGATAAAACAGAATCTGAAAATTGATGAAGGTCTTAACACAAACACTGAGTCAGGTTCTCAGGATCCAAATGAAAACACCATCATAAATACCAGAAGAAGCAAAATCACAGCATCTATAATTCTAGTCATAAATGGAACTAGTATTTGAACTATACTGATAGAAAACTCAAAATCTGATTTTGGTTGGATTGGAACTTAATATGGGAAAATACATTTAAATAAATTCACAGAGCAATGTAAGATGCAGACAAAACTATTTTAAAGCTTAAAACACACACACAGTTGCACTCAAATAAAAATAACTATAAACAACGTGCAAAATTAAATTGACTCATAACGGTTCACTAAGTAGAGCCAAGGGAATAATATTGCTTCCTATTATTTTATTCTATTTGTTTTTTGGTATTTCTTGGAAATAAAACTTCATCTTCTTGAGAATAAACTGTATTTCAAAAATTTAATTGGACAGGAATTTCCTCAGTCCATTATTTTCATACCGATGAGGTTTACTATACAATTGAACATATGAGTATAGTACTGAAGCTCTTTTAATTATCTAATTTAGTTTGATAATTACTACTAAAACTATGTAAGCAAAAATTTAAATTTACCTATTCATTTTCAATCTTCTGCAGTAAATGTGTAATAAAGATAGTTTAGAGAAATGAAATCTCAGATAAGCAACAAAATACATATTATTTTAGTTGTTCAATCTCTTCCTTCACCATAGCTTTCCGTATTATTTAATGTATTTTTCAGTTTGGGTGGTTGCTGTAAGAAGCAAACCACTGTAACCCGGGTTTTAATTCTCTCTGCCTCCTGGCATGTGTCCTTTGGTAGAATTTTCTATGAATCATAAAATGGTCACTAGGAAGATGTGCTTTAGTGAAGGTGAGACACACAGTATCATCCCTGATTAGCTGACATTGAATCTGAAAAAAGAGAGGACTCTTTTTTCAGAAGAATGCAGACTGTTCACTCACCTTTGCATGTCTTTCCGTCCTCCTGTAGGACATAGCCCCGAGGACAGGAGCACTGGTAACTCCCCTCTGTGTTCTTGCAGATGAAGTTGCAGGGTTTTGGGGACTGTGAACATTCATCAAGATCTAAGCAAAAGTGATGTGAGGATTAAATTATTGGTTAGAAGGAAAAACCAGTCCCTTTCCTCCCTCCATATTCTCACTTCATCGTTTTCTTTTCCTCTTCAACTTAAAATGGAAAATAGAGATGAGGCACAGAACAATTTTCTCTAAAGTAATTTACGGGTTTACTCTGTCGAGCGTGTCTTGGGCAAATATTATAATATCCGGAACAACTGTCTGGGTTCAAAAAAATACACTAGATTTTTTTAGATTGGTGTACTTTGGTTTACAGCTTGAGAATCATAAACTTAAAGGCTAGAGTTTCTTTCCTTTGACACGTGGATGTGGCAGAAATTCTCAACCTCTCTTAGCTGACACTCCCCTAAGAATCTTTCGGCATCACAGACTGTGCTGGAAGTCTCCCACTTCCCCCTTCAGATGCAGTCCTCACCCTGGTCCACCCTGTTTTTGGGCCCAGGAGGCTGAACTGCACAGACACCATTAGCAGGCTTTCCTCCCCTCTGTCTTCAGGCTGGTCCTTAATTCCTCAATTCCCTCCTCGCATGATGGGATCAGAGGTCACAGATGCTCTCAAGGCAGGTCTCTGGGCAAAACTTCTTTCCTCTTCTAAGTTTCAATCTTTCCCTCTATCTTTGGCCCAGAGGTGGTACAGCCCCAGCACTCAGCATTATCCCTCGTAGTTTCTGCCCACTCTGCCCACACCTTTATATACCTTCTCTTTGTCAAAAACAAGTCTCCGTAAACTCTCCTCATTTGAATATGCCACCTTCTTTCTGCTAGGACTCTGATAGCAAATCACCTCCATTTCCCCCATAAAACACATTGATTGATGCCCACAGAATGCTAAAAGCTCATGACTGATAGCCTAGTCTCTAACACTCTCTTGCCCAAACAAGTGAGTTGAATGTTTACTAAGATTTAGTTTGGTTTTTCTTAACCTTTTCATGCCAAGTATGCTTGTTATTAAAACAAGTTGATGTAAGTTGATGAAATATGAAGGAGAAAAGTTTTTTTTCTTTAATGGAAACTAAATGCTTTGGAAAGACTCAGAGAGGCAAGCTACCAACCCCCTCCAATTGTCATAGAATGGTGTCGATGAGACAATAAAATAAATTAGAAAAAGAGATTGTAAAAATGTAGAAGGTCTCTGTACTGAGACTGCTTTGCAACTGGAAATTTTAGATGATGCCTAATTGGTATATTTTATGCAAAAAAAACCACAATGAGAAACAAGCAAAAAGCACTCTCTCCATATGCAAACACACAATTTCACAACCAAAAGTCCTATTCTTTCATTAAAAGAATGACAAACGTGCCTTTATACATTTTAAATTAAACATAAAATGTTGAAAATATATTTTTAATAATTTCTATGTTTCCCTAATTGCACAGACTTTTTGATTAATTAAACAATTTTGTGTCTCACATTACTAGACAAGGCCTTGGACAACTCCTATGATATTAGGAACCACATTGCTGAAAGGAATGGCATTTTTTAACAAAATGTACATTCCAAAGCTCCATAATAAAGATACTCTGCTGACAGTAAATGACATGTAGGAAACAACCACCCAGATGCCTCGTCTCGCCTTACCTACACATGAGGTTCCGCTGATGTCTGTGGTGTAGCCAACCTTGCAGAAGCACCGGAAGGAGCCCATGGTATTGATGCACTGACCATTGGTGCAGAGATTTGGCATAACTTTGCATTCATCAATATCTGTGCGCCAAAAACCCCAAGGCAAAAACAAATGTAATTTAATACAGACGCAAGAATTAAACTGGTTAGAAACTAAGAGAAATTAAGGAATTCACAGATCACTAAGAACCAACATTCATAATTGTGCTGGTGTACCTTTTCATCATTCAGTCCAGTGGCAACATGGAAGGGAGAGAATAAAAAGAATCTGAAGTGATAGGAAGAGGTAAACAAAAGGAAGGCTATGTTGAAAGCCCCACTGAAGTCTACTCGTTCTGCAATCTAAGTATGAATTATTTTTTGGGAATCTAGAAAGCTACCCCTCTGAAGTTCAACTAATTTGGAATGTGGGACAGTATACCATGGATTGGCTTTAAATTCACACTTGTATTAGACTGAAGAAAGGGTTTCATTAGCAAAGTAATCAGGTACAGGGTCAAGAATCTGTATAGTTACAGAGGAAAATGGTATTTTTAGGACATTAGTATACTGATTGTACCAAAAAAATGGAAACTACTAATCATTTATGAGACTTGCTGGTTTGTAAATATGTTGCCAACAGAATGAGTTCCTGCGTACACTCAAACAAATGCGTTACACACAAACAAACAAGTAACCTTTATTTAAATGAAACAAGTATAGTTCAGGAGTTATACACGGTCTTTGGGGTTAGACAGATATGTTCCATTCCTTGGTCCATCCCTTAAAAAGGCTGTGATCTTGGGAAAATGATTTATCGTTTAAGCTTTGAGCTTCAGTTTCTATCTTTTAAAATAGGAATAATAACAGATTCTGCCTTTTAGATTTGATATGAAGATTATACCTTTTAAAGTCTCTGAAGCATTAGCGAAAAGCATATACAACCACAACATACACATATTTTAGCTATTATTTTACTTCCTTCAAATTCATCTGATTTCATGTTCACTGTGTTAATAACATGCATGAATTTCCTCAACTCCTTACCTCTTCCATCAGTGGTATATCCTGGGCCATGAGGACATATCTTTTTGTACTGAGCAGTTCCAGGAAGTGGGCAGAGCTCACACTGGTGACCCCAGCCTCGCCCCCCATCGCAGCAGCATTCTGACTTTGTGACAAGGTTACGGCTGCTGGATGCCATCTGACACATGGTCTGCAATACCTCTGCAAAGCAGAGTCCCTGTCGATTGTCTGAAATGACAATGTAGTTAATGGGCATCAATGTCAAGGAACTGACACCTTGGTCTTCAAATTAAATAGGACAATGTTCTCCTTAGAAATACTTTCTTAAAAGCTAAATATTCTTTTAAGACAATGTTTAAGACAATGATTAGAAAGTTTTGTTGGAGATTAATTTCATGGAGTGTTCTTTCACTAAACACAGTTTATTAAATTTAATAATAAGTGAAACTATACTTAAGAAATAGATTTGGGATTTTTCTTTTTTTTTCATCTGCAGCTAAGTGATAGTAAACTACCACTCCTGTAGAATCCAGATAAAAGGAAAATCAAAGAAAATTACTTACCTTTAAATAAGCAAATGAGCAACAGGATTTGTTTTTGAAAAGCAAATTCTAGACTATGTTATAATTTTGGTACATATTCAATCTAATCTCCTGTATTTTAGACATCTAAAAGACTGTTCAAACATTGGATTAAGTAGTTTTTAAATTATAAATAAAGGAATTTCAATGATATAAGTAGGCAAAGAGATCTTTTATGTGGTTTTAAGAACCATCCTAATGAACTGTTAATAATATGAACAGAAAAGAACACTTTTTCTGTAGGTTATCTTTTCTATTTCCAAAAAGGTCTAGATTTAAGACAATAATAGCCAATTTCTTGACTAATAATTTCCTAGGATTTGAAGCAGATGACAGCATTTTGAGAACAACCTGATGTAGCTGAAATGTTCTATTTTTGCACCAAATCCAGTGATGAGTGCTTTGTTTGCCTTAAATTTTACTACTCCATACTTTTACACCTGCTCATAATTAACTAAAATGGTTTATGATGTATGCATGTTATCATTAAAATGTCTGAGACTTATATTTTCCAAAAGAAAATATTTTGTAAAACATTTTCCTGTACCATAAAATAAAAATCAACTTTCATTGCATTTTTGAAATGTGGCATATTCTTTAATATCATTAATACACAAAGCTTACCTTACATAGCAAATATTTTCTTTTGGAATTAAATCATCCCCTGATGTAAGTTTTACTAAAGTCACATTTTCCATAGAGCTTAATTAATCTTAATTTTGGAAAGACCATTTAAGATGGTTATTTACATTAAGCATAGACGTAGGTACAACACATACATACACAAATATGTCATTTTAATAGATGTCTACCTTCAAGGAAGAGGTTGGATTATTACTCAGATTGGGGAATCTGTTTAGCAGACAAGGATACATATGTAGAACTCTTCTGTGATGATGTCACAAAACAGATGTTTTATTTACCAAGTAAAATATACTCGTTTATCAACTTACCAAGGCATTCAGTGCCTGAAGAGCTTGACTGAAAGCCTTCATTACACTCGCACCTATAGCTCCCAATAGTATTAACGCAACGCCCATTTTCACAGATTCCTGGCTTGGTCCTGCATTCATTTTCATCTTTAGAAAAGCAAATAATGTGAATCATGAGTAGACTATAAAATTATAATTTACAAATTTACCTTCTAATGGGTTATATCATATTTAAAACTTCCTCACCAAAATACTAATATGATAGAATACTAATTTATTTTTAAATTTACCTCATCCTTCCAAGATGGGTTCTTTGTTAACAGTGTTTATTTCCCCTTACTTTCTTTTCCTCTTCCTCTTTTCGGGGAAGAGGTGATATTTGATGGAGAATAAGAAAATTGGCCTCCAAAAGGGATTACTGACAAGGAGAGAAAGAACTTTGGGGAAGAGGATGCCAATTTATGTGATATGAGAGAGAGGCTGAGGGTGGGAGAGGGGGGGTAGGTGTTAGGGAGAGGTGGAGAGTAGGGTAAAAGGGCACTTAGGCCATGGATAAAGGACAAGTTCTTAGACTGACTTTGAGTAAAATCACAGGAGTGGAGCAGTGTGTTAAGGGCGGCTAATGGAAGAAGGAATTTAGGCCATACTCCTCTTTTGATTGGTGATAAATAAATAAATATATTAGAGCAAAATTGTTTTATTAAAATCCCTATATACTTACTGATTGTGTTTATTTGATATTTTGTAAATTTTGTTTGAGGTATTTTTCAAATCAATGTTGTCAGAAGCATGAGAACTCATGACAATTAAATCCTTCTGATTAATTGCTCCTTTCATGACTATACTTTTCAATCTTCAATCTGTTAATATTTATTTTGCATGTGCTTGCTTTTTATTAGCATTTGCCTTGAAGATCTTGTCCTACCCCTTCATTTTCAATCTAGCTCACATTTTGATTTGGTACGTTTCTTGTAAAAAGCACCAAGCTGCGTTGTAAAAGAATTTTTAAAAGTACATTTGCCTTTTAACAGAAATTTGAACTATTTCCAAACTGATATGTTTGGACTCTTGCCTGCCATTTTATATTATTTTATATTTACCATGCTATTGCCCCCTTCTCTCAATATTTCTTCGATCAGTCTAGTTTTCTCTGCCCTCCTCTCATCCCTAACTCACGTCTGGAAGTTGTAATCTTCTATTCTTCCAGTGGTAACCATGGAAAAACTTCAACATACACTTTAATGAATATTTTTCTATTAATATCAAGAGGTATCTGTTTCAAAAGCTTCTGACCATAACGAAGAGTACCTTGGTATGAGTTCTTTCTCTTCTCTCCCTGTGTCACCTGCCATGTTGATGTGGTCGAGAAATTTTGGTTTGTTATGTTTTTGTTTTATGGACCACCAGCATCTATTTAAACCACATAATAAGGGTTACTGGTTTCTTGGCTTTACCATTGCTTCACGTATACTACTGCTTCCTCTTGAATTAACTTTAAAAAATATATTGGAATATAGTTTGGTAATCATTTCAGAGAGGGTATGTGGGCGATAAATATTCTACAACACATTTCTGACAATGCCATATTTTTGTTTGCTTTATCACTAGATTGGATATAAAATTTTAGTTCAAAATTATTTTTCCTTAGAATGTTTTGAAAATACTGATGCTCCACTGGTTTCTTTTACCCAGTACTAAGGTTCATTTGTAGGGAATCTGGTTTTGCTCTCTTGGGAGCTTTAAGGATTTTCACTTGCTCTTATTGTTCTGAAACTCACTGTGATATTTCTTGTTAAAGATATATTTTTTTTCTTTTAGGAAACTTATTGCATATGTTTTAAAGTATATGCAAAAGTATTAAACTGAGTTATGGATTTAAAAAATTGTACAGTGTTTCTTATTTCTAGAATCTGAGGGTTCAAGGTCTACCGTCTTGATCTCATCCTGTCCCTAATGTTGATACCTTTATTTTGATTAGTATTTTAGTTGTCTGATTTGAATTACTTTTTTCAAGAAGGGCTTTTGTTGGATATACTGAGTGAGTTCCGCCATGTTTGATGATATATAGTACAGCTTTTATACTTGAAAGATAACTTGATGTATCTTAAAGTCTTGGATTACTTTTGCTTTCACATCTTTGGCACTGAGAATCCCTGAGATAACTTGACAAAAAGAAATTACAATGGGGACTTCCTTGGTGATGCAGTAGTTAAGAATCCGCCTGTCAATGCAGGGAACATGGGTTCCATCCCTGGTCCAGGAAGATCCCACATGCCGTAGAGCAACTAAGCCTGTGCGCCACAACTACTGAAGCCTGCACGCTGCAACTACTGAGCCCACGTGCTGCAACTACTGAAGCCTGTGTGCCTAGAGCCTGTGCTCTGCAACAGAGAAGCCACCACAATGAGAAGCCCGCGCACTGCAACAAAGAGTAGCTCCCACTGGCCGCAACTAGAGAAAGCTCGCACGCAGCAATAAAGACCCAACGCAACCAAAAAAAAAAAAAAAAAAAAAAAAAAAAATAAACGGACAACAGCAACCACAAAAAAAAAAAAAAAAAAAAAAAAAAAAAAAAAAAACATTACAACGGATCTCATGCTTAAGAAGTCAGAATTGTAACAGTGTCTTCCATACATGTTATTTCTACCCTTTCACACACTTTGAGAAACATATATTACTCTATAAACATGACTTAGGAGTCTAGGTTTAACTTGGTTTTCAGATCTTGTAAGAACAGTGTTTTCAGATCTTAGAAAAACAGTGTGTTTGAAAGAACCACTGCATAACCAAACCTCTAAGGTGATCTATTTTAACTTTATTAAGTAGTGGATTTCGAATGAAATATCTATTAGATTAAAAGAAACTATGAAATCCAATTATAATCTGATGGGTTGTTGCAGACATTTAAAAATTAATTTAATATTACACATGTAATTCAGGAATTCACTCTTTTGTAAAAAATTAAAATTGACACATACAGTTGAATTCACTTCAGACCAGTAACCTCTAATCTCAATAGCGTCCCTGGATGTAATTCTTTTTCTATGAATTGGCGTTTATATCCTTTTTCTCTTAAATTTTTGCCCACTAATTTTAGCATCCATCTGGATCTTGTCTGCTTTAGTGTTATGTTTTTTGTAATTCAAAACGCATAACTGAAACATATCTAAAAAGACCTGATTGCTACAAATCTTAGTTTTATTTTCTTTCTTTTTAAAAAATTTTCCTGACAATACAAACAAATGTTGGGAAATTTCTCTTGAGCATAAGATTTTCCAAGTTGCCACAGAAATCTAGTAACGATAGAAAAGATTAATAATATTTTACAGTTTGCATATTGTATAATGAACCTAATAGAGTCTTTTAATTTTTAATCTATTTGGCTATTTGCAGAGAAAATAATACACCATATTTTTCCAGTTTGATAGCTAAAATTCAGATTTTTCTGGTTGCTGAATACAGTAAAATGATATAATTATCTTATATCCCTCTTGATTCGTGTTATATCATCAATCTTATTACTTTCAAATCATTTCTCTCTCCTAATAATATTCATTACACCAAATTTATTAAATATTCACAATGCCTTAAGTCACACAAATCATATTTTGCTTTTGCATGCACATCTTGTAACTAAATATATGTTATCAATAGTGAGAACCTGGAGTGTAATTTGTTGTGGAAGAAGGCATGCTGGCCTTGAGGAAAAGCTTTTGTATTCCAATATGATGTTGCAATATAAACACAAAAATAAAGAATTAATGGTTAAAAATAAATAAATAAACCTTTTCCTGTGTATTTACTGGCTTGCATATGTACCTACAGAAAAATTATCGTATGATTTACAATTTTCTTTAAAATATGACACATTGTATATATTATTCTGTAACCAAATATTGAGAGTTATTTTTACTTCTTTACATACACATATCTATTTTATTCCTTTTAACTGCTCTGTAAGGTTTCATAGCATTGCCATGCCACATTTATTTAGCTGTCGTCCTGTGATGGGCATTTAGGTTGTTTCCTACTCTTTTTTTTTTTTTTTTTTTTTTTTTTCCGGTAGATTCATTTTTAAAAACAACTTTACTGAGGTATTATTTACTGGCTATAAAATTTCCGTTTTTAAGCGTACAATTCAGTGATTTTTAGTAAATTCTGGAGTTGTACAGTCATTGCCACAATCCAGTTTTAAAACGTTTCCATTTCCCAAAAGGATCCCCAGCGACCGTTTACAGCCACTCTCCATTCTGACTCTTAGCACCGGGCAATCACTAATAGATTTATTTTAAGAAATACTATTATTATGTTATTTTTTCCCAAATAAGAAATTATTAGTAATCTTCAAATGTTCCTCCAAAAATATCCACATTTTTCCAGGTATTGGAGGTTAAAAAGGGAGCACAGCAGATTCTTAATTAAAGAAGGGGAGCCACTTATTCTCAAGAAGGAGGAAGACTGTGTCATGGGCTACAGTGCCCCAGGCGACAACACTTTAGGGAATAAGTGCTGAGATACTAGATGGGGTGGCCATGACCGGCTTACACGGCGTGATACTTCAGTACACATCATAAAATCATAACATTTCAAATCCCTGAGGTCATCTTAGAGCCCCAGCCCTACCTCCTCCCTTTATAGCTGAATTAACTGAGGTCCAAAAACATTAAAAAAATATGGCTAAGTCACAGAAATACCCAGCCTGTAACAGAGCTCTGGAGATTACCTGCCTCATTACTCTCCTCATTCATGGAGTGATTCAAAAGCGAGAATATTAACTCATACTTTTAATTTTGCTACATAAGTAAGTAGCATTGTTTCAAGGAGTTTTTTCCCACACTTATGAATTTAATGATTTAGATTTACAAGACAGAGAATTATGATAAACAAGAGGACATATATTCTAGGACAGGCATAATCTCCACTGTATTATCCAGAACCTACTGTATTAGCATGGACCCTGAGATCGAAGAAATCTAGCTATATAGCACAGCCTTGAAACAGCTGGAAAATAGCTGGCTTGCAGTTAGGATGATTTGGGAATAGCGCTGTAAATCTGTCTTGGAGTAGGAGTATTAAATAAGAAGACACCATCCCATAAAGCCTTACCTACACAGCCTTCTCCATCAGGCCTTCGGGTCATCCCAGGCGGGCAGATGCACATGAAGGTGCCAATCAGATTCTTACACATCATGCCCCTAGATTCACAGTCATGTAGCCCTTCAGCACATTCATCCAGGTCTATAAAATATTTTTAACAGGAAAAACACAGAAGTGAGAAATTTTCAGGAACAGGCTATTGTTTAGTATTTTTAAGTCACTTTTTTGGTCTTCTGGCTCTTATTATGTAACAGAGAAAGGAGGAGCCCAGTCTTTTTCAACTGTTGGCTGTATTCTAGATTTATAAAATTTCAGCATTGGTCCTAAAGATAAGAAGTTCAGGAAAGGGCTATCTTTGCTTTAATAAGAGCTCAAGAGTGTGACATCTTATTTTTGACTTGATTGGACAGACCATCAAGTATCTTGTTATCTAGATATGGAAATCTACCAGCAATGTTGTCAGATACATTTCTCTAAAGCTCTAGAAGAAGATAGCTGAGAACCATAAACTCATTAAAATATATTTCCAGCATGGCAAATAAGTGCTAACTACACCCCTGTCTGTGGCCTTACCTTTGCACATCTTCTGGTCTTCCCTGAGGGCATAGCCAATCGGGCATGTGCATTCGTAGGACCCGAAGGTGTTCATGCAGCGGAAAGCACACAGCAGTGGGTTCTGGGCACACTCATTGATATCTGATCAAGAAAACAGGCAGGCATGTGCTCAGCCTAGAGTTCTAATTACTTGCTCAAATAAACACTGATGTATTTGCACCTAACTCATCCTCCAACATATAACAACTATAAACTCTGAAAAAAATACAAAAACAACACCTCAAGTGGTTTTTAGCGGTGAGCTGAAAGTCAGCAAACAACAGGTAAAGATAGGTTCTCAAGTTTTTTTTTTTCCTGTGGATAGCACCAGTCCTGACAGCAGCACCTGGCAGCTAAATCTTCAGTAGAACCTTTCTGAGCTTCTGTCCAGGAGGATTGAGGGGAGGGAGCCTTGGGGCAACCAAGGCTGCTGAAGAATGAGGAGGAATCCCAGAAATGAGAGGACCAGAGGTAGAGAAATACCTTTTTCATTTTTTTGCACAAACGCAGCCCAACTTGCTGACTTAACCATGCATGTGTAGGCCAAAATCAAAGAAGCTAGCCACTAGGGTTTAAAGAACAGAACTGAAATCTGAACCACTGTCTTCCATAGGCCTGACAGTCCACTTTTATGTTTATCCAAGTTAACTGCCTGCTAAGACAAAAGCATCAATATTCTTCAAAATAATATAACTGATTCCAGAAGACATCATTCACAATATCCAGGGCATAATCCAAAATCACTTAGCAACCAGGAAAATGTGACCCAATCTCAAGGGAAAAGATAAGCAACTGACGCCAACTCTGAGAGGACCAAGATGCTGGAATTATCAGACAAGGGCTTTAAAGTAGCTTTTGTAACTATGCTCACTGAGATAAAGAAAAATATGTTTGTGATGAATATAATCATCAACAGAACATCAGAATAGTATAAATAAAAGCTGAGACATGAAAAACCCTTTCTATATCAAGAAGAAATAATACTAAAGAAAAGTATCACTTGCCTTCACAATTCATCATGGGTCCTGGCTCAAAGCCTTCGTTGCAGTTGCATTCAAAACTCCCAATAACATTGGTGCACGTCCCATTTCCACAGGGATTGCCAATTGAACATTCATCAGTATCTGAAAAAGAAGAATAAGAAAGTGCCACAAAATCTGGAGAAGGTTTAGTTTTATAGGAGTATGCCCATGAATATCCACCTGGCCCTCACACATGTCCCAGATCTGTGCAGGGCACACATGACTCTTGCAACCCCCCTTGGCCTTGGCTGGCTGGCCTTTATGCAGGGCAGAGAACGCCGAGAGATCAAGTGTGCAATGATCTGAGCCTTTAGACATCCGTGGCTTGCCCTAAAAAAAACACAAACCCAGGGAGGGATGTGGTCTTCTGCCACCAGAGGAGAAGTGGAAAGTCATAAAGTAAAATGGATCTCTTTCCCAGTTAGTGGTTTTGGCAACTGTAAATCTCTTGACACATCAGAGTTTGTATATTTGGTTGAAGGCAGAGGTTGGGCAACTCTCCCCATCTTCACATAAACCAGGTCTACTGGAAAATGCAGAATGGGAGAAGAAAGAGCAGTTTCTAGCTACTTATCCTGGCTTTGTAAATCCCACTGCCACCCATGGTGCCTGAGAGACCTTTTGCTGAATATAAGAAAGAAAACAGAACTTTCAAAGTGTGAAATGTGGAGTCAGCACTTACCCACACAGCGTACTCCAGTGTAATCAAGGTTGTAACCCATTGGACATTCACAGCGAAAAGACCCATCTGTGTTGATACACTGACCATTTGAACAAATGCCAGGGCTCTCAAGACATTCATTGACATCTAAAATACAGAATCACCCATGAACTCTCTTACATAAAAAGATAAGCCCAAACTGTACATATCTATTCAAAAGAGCCTTAAAAATTTTTAAACATATAAACATTTCTTATATCAGAGAAATATACAGTGTATTTCACATGTTACAACATAGTCTTATGATAAATATAGTGCATATGATAAATATATAATAAATATTGTATTTGTGCATTAAATGCAATATACTATGTTATACAGTAAAATCAGCATGATTATAAAATAAATGTACAAAAATTTACTTATGTAAGACTATAAAAATAAAATATATCAAACCACACCTTCACGGGTATCATGAAGACTAGGAACAGTTCCATGGCCATAGGGACACAAATCCTGGAACGCCACTACAGAGAAAAACACAAATTACCCATTATCAAAGAGTCTCAACTATCAGAGAACTTAACTGATTATTGATAATACATGAAATTAGGCTTACTTCTCCTCTACAAGGCTGTTTTTAGTAAGAGTCTTTTTATTTTTATAATTTTTTGTAAAAGCAACGCTGAGCATATTTAGAGAAGGTCACCTGAGCTTGTCCAGCTCCTCCCAGAGTGCCACCTATGGAGGGTGTCTGATTCTGTCTGCTTGCTTGTTTAATGTTGGTCAGCCAAAGAGCCTCTCTGCCCATTACACACAGAAGCTACCTCTGGCCTACAGACCAGGCCAGTTCCAAGCCTGCTGGAACAATTGTACCATTTAGCTGTGCTAACTAGATCTGTGAGGCTCTTGGTCTATTCCTGCAAATGGCTATTGTGCTGACTCAGCTTCTCAGAACTTCACATAAGAGCCTGGGAGCCACAGCGTGGGATACAATACCCATGTGGGACTCCCGCAGCAATCTGGAATATAATTTTCATCCCCTCCTTGGATCTCTTGCCCTGCACCTCTCAAATTCATTCCTTTCAAAACAAGTAATATTAGCCTTGGGGGGAGAAATGAAATAACGTGGTAACTCCCTGCATGTACACATGTTGAATACAAAAGTTGAAAGAAGTTCCTGAGACTAGGTTGCTCACTGAACCATTAAAGTTTATAAGTGAGGGGATAATTTCATTCTCAAAATATTCATAAATTACATAGTCCAACTGGGTTCTGCCAGACAGTCCCAAACTAGTGCAAAGTGGCATTTTATGTAGTTGTTGCTCTTACCTTCATCATCTTTGGGGCACAGCTCACAGGGGTCCCCCCAGCCCTCTCCTGGCATCTTACTACAGCAGCATTTCGCCTTTGTGGTATTGAAAGCTTTGGGTACGGAACACTTTCCATTTTCAAAGTTTGTGAAACAGAAGCTCTGGCGAGTATCTAATCAAGAAAGCAAACATCACAGACCTCCTTACTGGTCATTTTAAAAGAGGGAATAATTTGTACATAACTGTTTCCGACAGAACATTTCTCATGGGCTGAACATGTGATGCAGGTTAAATTAGCAGTTAAAAGAAAGGTCTGGAAATCCTCAATTGCTGATAACACTTGCCAGTTTCAACTGACCGCTCTGTAAAATTATATTTAATTATTTAAAATATTTACAATATTTTAATAATGTGCTTAGGAAATTTGACAAATTATGCTCAATATTAAAATGATTTCCATGTCTTTTTTTCCCCCACTGTTACATTATAGCCTAACAAAATCAATCTAGGTAATTTTCAGTAAGTTACATCATATCAGAAGCAACTCCTCACCAATGTACAAAAAATCTATGCCAACAACAGAATGAAAACGATGAAACAAGATAACAATTTTTCTTTCAGTATGAAGTTTTTTTAAAATGTAGAAACAGAGCCAATAATCCAAAGTACCTTAAAAATTGTCCAGTGCATATACATCTGAGACCTACATTTTAAACTTACAGATGATGTATTTGCCAGAGACATATATTTTTAGTGACAAACACTGAATCATGGCTTACTGTCTAGCTTTGAAGCTTAAGGGCCAATTATGACAGAGAAGCCATTTCAAAACTTACCGAAGCATCTCCGTCCATTATCAGACAATACAAAACCAGGGGGACAGATGCACTGGAAGCCCCCAGGAGTATTGGTGCAGGAACCAAAAAGACAGATGTTGGGATCTTCATCACATTCATTTATATCTGCAGAAGAGCAGGATAATTTATTGATTTAATCAAATCAAAACATTGTTCAATATCTGAAAATAAATAATTTGTCCACACTCTAACAGTTCACTAGCCATTGGATATTTAATATGAAACAATACATTGCATTATGTATACGTTTAACTTATCTTTAAAAAATAAAGTGTTACTGCCTCAAAAGTCAAAGATTACATTCAATCAACCATATTCCCCAGACTCCCAAGTTGGTCTCTAGCTCTCCAGATTTGACCCCTGGGGGTGTTTTTACATCCACCTGCCTACCTGACAGGACCACTTCAATGTCTCACAGGCATCGCATCCTCAGCAATGGTCCCCTTCTATGATGCCCCTCTCAGCAATCCACACTGGGGACCTGGAATCACATTTATTTCTCTCCCTGACCTTTCAACTTTCACATGCAAGCAGCATGTGGCCTGTAATTTCTATCTCCTGTCTACATTCAAACTCAACATCATTTGCCGCCTGGATTATTGCAAATCTCCCAGCTGGACTGCTGCATCTCCATCTCTCCTCTTCACACTGCCACCAGGGCTGGTTTTCTAAAACACACACCTATTTGAAAATCTGTGCCTGTGGAACTAGGGGAACTCAGACATGTGTTGAGAATTTTATCATTTCCACCTGACCCCAGAATGGTTCCTTAAAATATACAAGGATTCCTTACCAGTGGATGTTTGGCCTTTTTTCATTGGAAGTGCTTACTTAATGGGTTATTTTAACTAAATGAATAAACATTACACAATTTCAGGCACATTAGAACATAAGCTCCATGAGGACTTATGTGATGTGTCTCTTATGTGATGTGTCTGTCTGTCTGGATCCCTGCTGCACCCTCAGCTTAGTCTAGCACAGTGTCTGGCACATTCTACATTCTCAATTTATATCTGCATAATTTTAATGAGTGAGTCGTACCACATCGTTTCTAAAGCAACCTACACTGCTCCATACTGCCTGCAGCACTAAGTGCAATCTTCTGAGCTGGCCAATCGATGCCCTTTACCACGTCTGTGCTGCCCCTCTTTTCAAAATGCCTCTCTGTTCCATTTCCTTCTTTGATTAGTAAATTTCTATCCAACGTTTCAGAGACACCTCAAATGTCACCAATCCTTTGTGACAGGCTTCCTGACATGTCATCCTCTCACCACCAACATCATTATTCACAGCCTCCCACTGTGATCCCACATCCTGAACAGATCCCAGTCACGCTGAATTGTAAGGATATCTTTACAAAATGGGGTTTCTTACAAAATATGTCTTTTCTCTTAGGCAGTAAGTTACCTGTAGGAAAAAAACTTCCTTTTTGTGTTTCCAGCACCTAAAAGATGCTGTGTCCACTGTAATGTCCACTGAATGTCAGGATGGATTTATGTGTGTGCGTGTGTGTGTGTGTGTGTGTGTGTGTGTGTGTGTGAGTGTACATATAGTCATGTTAGGAAGCATTTCATCTAGGAAAATTGGTAGAAGAGATTCTATTGATAGGATGAAGGAAATATTCTTACAGTGAAGTAAGTTAGTTAAAAACCCATTCTTACGACATGTGAGTGATGTTGTTTATCAGTGGATAAAGAAATACTCCTGAGGTTTAAAAATATGTAAGTGAATCATAGATTTTTTTCACTAAGAAAAAGGTAGCTAAGTCTTTCTGATACAAAGAGACATATGCATTTCTATTTCCTCCTTAAGGCTGACACACTGCTTCTATCCTTGCTCCATAAAGAGATGAATCACAGGGATGTTGAACAATTGAGATTAAATATAAACAAAGAAAATGAAAGAAAGGATCTTAAACTTTTCAAGAAAGTTTTTGCTAAGATGCTTCTAGTATTATTATTGATTATTTTTAAGTATTAAAAACACTAGACAATCTTACAAGGGACTACACAAATCAGACAAAAAAGGGACAAGATATAAACACCAAATTGGAATGACTAGGGATACCTATTATTTGTAGTTATATGGTCTGAAAAGAAATTAAATTTAACTAAGTGGACTGCTTCCTTCAGTTCCATCTATATAAGTCCCTTGAGTGTGAACAGTAGAGCTACTTAGAATTTTTTTAAGAAACTGGGTAACTCAAAGGCAAAAAAACTCTTAACAATCATTTCACGTTAGAAGAACCACACTAAGATGCTGGTGCTTCTGAATTTCAACAAAACTGTTAAAAATAATTTGTACAAAAGTGAAATAAAGTAACTGTAAAAAGGTCGGTCTTCATCATGTCCACTAGGCAATTCTGGGACCCACTTTTGATGTGGTTACAGTGTTCTTGTACACTGGGAGAGTTTCCACAGAAAAACATCTGTTCTGACAAATGGATTAATATTTTCTGTTTTGACATGTGGCCTTCCCAGGGAAAAAAATGTTTCAACAGCATTGTCAAGATTTTCTGCTTCACATTTCTGGGACTCCAGACACCTTTAATAGCTGTTTTAAAATTGGTTGCCAAAGATTACAGTTTTTGTAGACACTCTTTAAATTCAGTAGAAAGTCTCTGTTGACATTTGGGAAAAAGCTTAGAATGCACTGAAAACTCTTTGACTAGTATAAGATTTCTGTTAATGAAAAATCCCACATCCTTAAATTCTTTATTCTCACCACTCCACCTTCAAATCACTTCTGATGGTTCAATAAAACAGATGTAGGCATCTATATGTTTAATTCCTTGGGTCAGCATGCTTACAGTGGTTTGGATTTAATGTATTTCCACAGAGTCTATACCAGGTCTTATTATACTAAACAGCTCACAGACTCAAAATAAATGTTAGCCTTACCAATGCAATTCTCGCTTTTTACTTCATACCCTGGGGGACAGATGCATCTGAAGGATCCCTCCAAATTCTGACAGGTGCCAGGAGAGCAAGAGCCAGGAAGGGCAACACACTCATTAGTATCTTTAAAGAGAAACACGAAAAAAATGATTTAAAGATGAGACGATTGTTGCCAAAGGATATTAACATGAATTCAACTCAGGCCTTCTGATCTACCACGTCACTCTGGGCAAATATGCCCTTAGAGACTTTTGACATATTGAGTATTACTCATTTGGCAAGAGGCTAATTTTCCTTTGTCTACGTTTATTGAGACACGGATAGCCTGAAGCTCTATCCCAATAAAAACACTGCATACAAGTCATTCCCAACTGTTGGCTTATACCTTTTACCAAAATTTCCCATGAAATTTATCTTGGTCATGTAATTAGATGACCAAATGAAATGCAAATGTGTCCCGAAGTTGGTGGGTGGGGGGGAATCACATCATTATTTTACAAAACAAAATAACATAAAGACTGTTTATTATGTACATACTTACCTATACAGTTCTTGCCATCTGGAGTAAGTTCATAGCCTTCATTACATAAACACTTGAAGGAGCCAATTTCATTAAAACACCGTCCATTTCTGCACACCTGACCAAAAAAGGAACTGCACTCATCTACGTCTGTAAGCAAACAGGAGTTAGCTTTTCAGAGAGAGCTCTTACACATATTCTGTCACAAGCTGCAACTTAAAAACATATTCATTGGTAGACATTTACAAAACCCGACATTACAATTCCTCATCAACACAGAGAAAAATGGCTCATATCATAAGGATCAGGTGACTAATAAGGTCACACAGATCTCTCCTGTAGACTTAAGGTGAAGCTTTCCATGTTTTCCAATTGAAATATAGTTCTCATCCTGGAGATAAGAGGATACACGGATTTAACTGGACCACCCAGTTTGCAGGTAACTTTACCTGGAGGTAAGCTGACTATATTCAAAGGACAAATAACAAAGCATATCAAAAATACAGAAAAATAAATTATATGAAAAACACTCTAGAATTGCTGACACGTTTTTCTGTCAATTGGAAAAAGAAGTTCTTAAGTGGTAGGTTTTCAGTTAAGCTTAGGGTTGATCCCGTTTGAGTAATTTTTTAGTTTGTTTGCAGATTATACTTTGATCAGAGCCATATTTGTATCTTTCATTCTCCCTGGCTGTACAAAGGGTCTGAGAAACTACAGACAAGAAGGTGGTTCAATAAAGTGTCTAGTTAGCTCTAAATTTTTTCACCGTTGCAGAATTTTATAAAATAAAGAAAGCTGAGAGGAATATATATTGGATTAAATTCGGAGGCGGGTCTGAGCTGTGACGGTTCCATTAAGGTAGAAGGCCTGAGTTACTTTCACATACCTTACAGGATAATGTGAATTAAGAGATGTTATGTAGTAAAGCACCAGTATAGTGTCTGGCACACGGTAAATGAAATATTGTCAGTGTTTGTTGTCGTATCTTTTACTATCTTCTCCACCAACTACAGGACCCCCTCCTCCTCCTTCAGTCACTTTCAATTTTTATTTCAATGACTGTCTGTTAGAGGCAAAGGCTAAAATTCTGTGCCATGTAGAGAAGACAGTTTTATTTTCCACTGAAAGTTTACAGTTGTTCACAGAGATTAAATAGGTTTCTGAGGGCTGATTTGGAAACCTAGACACCACGCACTCTTTCTGTGGGAAAAGGCATCCCTTGCTTCAAAAGCTGACGAAAAATAAAATTTAAAACACAACGGGGTTTTCAGTTGTAGATTGTCAGTGTTTGAATGTAAATCAAGAATGGATTTTATGAAATATGAAATAATAACACTGAAACCATAACAGGTCTAACTTTGATCCCATCTAAGGGGTAAAAATAACCCCAAACCATAAATCAGTCCCAATATATTTACTATCATCTGCATGGCCTTTTCCCTTGAATCGACTAGTTGATTGACATAGTATTCAACCCAGCAGATTGTCTTGTGATTATTTAAGCCAAGAGTGTGACTTCAGTTAACCAGAAATTAGTTAATGATATTACATATCTTTTGGCACACATGCACAATTTGAATAATAAACATATTTATTCTTTGGCTTTATTCTGTGTTTCAGGATATTGTGTAGAAATGAAAGAGAAGCAATAAAGGACTGAGTACTTACCCAGGCAATCATTATTATGAGTGAGTTCAAAGCCTGGGTAGCAGAGACAGTTATAGGATCCAACGGTGTTTTTACAAGTTCCATTTCCACATGGATGCCGCTCACATTCATCAACATCTACAAAGAAACATTGGCTCAAAGGAATTCAAGTTTTTACTAGAAAAACGTAGCCTATTAAACTTTTAGATTTTTTTAAACTACTGGCTTACTTAGATTTTCCTCATTCAATACTAAGAACCCACATTTATTTAAGGAAAGTAAGTATGAGGTAGAGCTAACTCAGAAGTAGAAAATTATAGGAAAAAGTGCCACTTACTGACTTACAGGAACATATACGACTCAGAAAAGAACTGGACTAATAAGCCAGTAACTACCTCCTTAGTGAGAGGTTTTAATGAATAGGTTTGCTTGTCAATTGTAAGGAAATCAATCTTTTGAAACACTAGAACAATTTGTTCTATTAAGCATTATAAATGCTCCCCCAGAAATTTTCATATCTTAATTTGATCAGCACAACAAAGGTAAACTGTAATTTCCTAAATTTTATGAATTAGTGGAATCTAAATTGAAGAAGTCTATTAGAGTTCAATTATTATTAGCCTTTGAAAAAATGGAATTAATATTTAGAAAGGTCATGGCATATAAGAGAGGAGACGCTAGACTATGAATTCCAGGATGCTGAAAAAAAAAAAGAGGGTATTACTGTTCCTTAGGAAGGAAGCTTTGTTTAAGAGAGGTATTACCAAGGAGTCTCGCTGACTTTCATCATGGATGAATTGTTAGGACCAAGGACAGATTTTCACCACATGAATTTCTGAACCATGTATCTCAGGGGTTTTTCTTAGCAAATCATATCCTCCCTCTCAGAGAGAACAGCCAGGAGAAGCATATATAAGCAAGCAATCTCAGAAAGTTCATGCAAATAGGGCCGCATCCTCCGTGTGTCCTTTGCACAAGCACTCCCTAGAGAATTTTTCCTAGGACCATGGGAAATGTCTGCAGGGGAGCTCTTAGGAGGCACTGCAAGAATGGAGACGTTCTCCAGGTGGTCCTCATGTATGGATACGCCATAAAGGAAACTAGTTCTGCCGTTCTGCTGTACTGAAATCTGACCTTACGATTCACAAAGATAGTATCTTAAATACCAGAAGAGTAGATGCACTTTAGCTTTTTCTAAACTGAGAACATGATAATTATAAATAGCCAACTTTTAAATTTAATTTTCCTCCTTCAAGCGTAAAGTGCTTCAGTGGAGATGAGCCAGTGGCTGACATCAGCTTTAAGTAGTTAAGCTGAGTTCCAAGGTGTCCAGCCCATCTGCTTTTGAAATCTTATTAATCATCAGCTCAGCAAGTACTTACTGAACACAATTATTGCTTAACTAACTGTACATTAGCTACTGGGGCTTTTCAAAGTTCCGCTATCTTCGCTTCTAAAAATTGTTTGTAAGAGTTAAAAAGCAAAACAAGCAGATAAATCTCATGTATTTGACAATTCGGGTGAAAGAAGCATATGTATGTATGTGTGTGTTTATATATTCATTTCAAAACTGTCACTCTGCTACTACTCCCTTGTATTCTTGCATTCCAAAAGGCTTTCTTGAGTGGGAATAGAGAGGGGTAAATGGGCAGCTGGTACTGTGGTGATCTCTACGTAACCCTGAGTGTCCCAGAGCTCAGGTTAATAAGCATGTGAAAGTCACCTGGGGAAAAAGGCTGTAAACACTGAACCCAAGAATATATTGTGGTGTGTCCTGCTTGCAAATTTTACGTTGAATAAAACCATAAACAGTTTCACATAGCTCATTTTTTGTAAGACTTTCTGACAGAGACTTGGTAGTTACTTGTGGCGAGTGACCGAACTGTAATCTCTTCTGGAGTCTCAGCTCCACGTCACCCCCTGAAACTAATGTCCTCCTTCTTACCCATGCACATCGTCTGGTCCTGAGAAGCCTTAAAGCCGTTGTGGCAGATACACTGGTAACTTCCTTGTAAATCCACACACAGGCCATGACTGCAAACATTAGGAATTTCTAAACATTCGTTGCGATCTAGCACAAAAAATGAAACACATGTTATACATATCTGATCTTTATTAAGATTCATTTTTTTCCACAGGCGCTGTTTCTATAATCTGCTATTAATTATTACAGACAGTCTGAAAATGAACCATAACAACAGCTGAATCAAAATAAGCAAGGCTTTAAAAGTATCCAAACCTCTTTTTCAAAAAATTTTAAATCATGCAATTTTTACATGCTGATTGGTATCTCAAGGACATTATTTTATTTTAGGTCCAATTCCAGGAAAATCCATTGAGAGACCTCTTCTTTTCCTAACAAAAGAATCTAAAAGATATGGTGAAATAGGTTCACTATGAATGATTTACTTAGAAAATCTTTTCAAAATTATCTTTTTTCTCTTTTTTTAAGTGGAGTATAATTGTTTTACAGTGTTGTATTAGTCTCTGCTGTACAGCAAAGTGAATCGGCCACATGTATACATATATCTCCTCTTCCTTGGATTTCCTTCCCATTTAGGTCACCACAGAGCATTGAGTAGAGTTCCCTGTGCTATACAGTCTGTTCTCATTACTTATCTATTTTGTACATAGTAGTGTATATATGTCGATCCCAATCTCCCAATCCATTCTATCCCCTCCCCCCTTGGTATCCATACATTTGATCTCTATGTCTGTGCCTCTATTTCTACTTTGCAAATAGGTTCATCTATACCATTTTCTAGATTCCACATACATGTCCTAATAAAAATAACCAAGAGATCACTGAAAAACTCGAAGAGGAAATAAAAAAATACCTAGAAACAAATGACAATGAAAACACAACGACCCAAAACCTATGGGAGGCAGCAAAACCAGTTCTAAGAGAGAAGTTTATAGCAATACAATCTTACCTCAAGAAACAAGAAAAATCTCAAATAAACAACCTAACCTTACACGTAAAGCAACTAGAAAAAGAAGGACAAACAAAACCCAAAGTTAGTAGAAGGAAAGAAATAATAAAGATCAAAGCAGGAATAAATGAAATAGAAATGAAGAAAACAATAGCAAAGAATAATGAAACTAAAAGCTGATTCCTGGAGAAGAAAAAATTGATAAACCTTTAGCCAGACTCATTGAGAAAAAAAGGGAAAGGACTCAAATCAATAAAATTAGAAATGAAAAAGGAGAAGTTACAACTGACACAGCAGAAATACAAAGGATCATGAGAGAATACTACAAGCAACTATATGCCAATAAAATGGACAACCTGGAAGAAAGGGACAAATTCTTAGAAAGGTACAACCTTCCAAGATTGAACCAGGAAGAAACAGAAAATATGAACAGACCAATCACAAGCACTGAAATTGAAACTGTGATTAAAAATCTTCCAACAGGGCTTCCCTGGTGGTGCAGTGGTTGAGAGTCCGC